ATTAATACTTCGCTATCCCTGCTAACGTCTTGTTGCTCCCGAAATGTCCCGCGTAAGGTACGTCGTGAAACTCTTCCAATAGGATCTGCCGTAGCGGGGCGTAATTCGGTACCCAAATCTTTCCTGAACCCTTCCTTACAGCTAAGTCTTTCTCCCACTGTAATAGCTTCTTGGTCTGTGCTATAGCAATCTCTGCGTCCACGGAGTACCCATGTTGGAATAGACCCTTGAGCAAAGGGTTCATCCCGTCGAGCTGGATGCCTGCTACATGTCCGGGGCGGCTCAACGCGTCTGCCTTGTTATGAATGGGGTAGTTTAGTTCTGCTCCGTGTAGCTTCTTACTGAGGTAGGCGATGGGCTGCAAACCGCGTCCGTGATCCTGCATCAGTACTGCTCCGACTGCTTGGTCACTAGCGTCTGTTTCCACCACGTAGTCCTTGTCTGGATCCGGCAAGATGAGTACTGGCGCTATAGTCAGTGCTGTCTGTAGCTGCTCCATGGCTTGCTGATGAAGGGTATCCCATTTGTAGGGCGTATCCTTTTTCAGTAGGTCGGGCAGTGGCGCTGCTATCTTAGCGTACTGCGGCACGAACCTCTTGTAGTAGTTGGCGAAGCCTAGGAATTGCTGTAATTCCTTCACGTTCTCTGGTACATTCCACTTTTTGACGGCTTCGATCTTCCGTGGGTCCACGTGTACGCCCTCGGCACTCACCATGTGCCCGAGAAACTGCACCTTCTTCAGGGCGAAGTCGCTCTTTGACAGCTTCACGTAGAACTTGTTTTTCCGCAGGATCTCGAACACCTTCCGCAGGTGCTCCACGTGCTCCTTCATGTTCTTGGAGTAGATGAGAATGTCGTCCAGGTACACCACCACGCACTCGTCCCGCACGGGTCGTAAGATGTGATTCATCTCCGCCTGAAACGTTGCTGGTGCGTTGCAGAGTCCGAACGGCATCACCAAGTATTCGTAGGAGCCGTATCTGGTACGGAATGCTGTCTTGTGGACGGAGTTGTCTGCCATCTTGATCTGCCAATAGCCCGATCGTAGGTCCAGCTTCGAAAATACTGGTGCTCCACGCAGTTGATCGAGTAGGTCGTCTATGCGCGGTATGGGATATTTGTTTTTGACTGTCTGTTTGTTCAGTGCGCGGTAGTCGATGCACATCCGTAAACTACCGTCTGGCTTTGGAGTGAAGAGAACTGGTGCACCGTAGGGAGAGGTGGATGGGCGGATCAGTTGTCTTTCTAGTAGATACTCTATCTGTTTTTCATGTCTAGCAGTTCAGTTGGACTCAGTCCGTATGGTGCACGTGAGACGGGTTTCGCACCTGGTTCCTCCACGATCTCGTGCTCGTGGGTGCGTGCTGGAGATACGCCTGTGGGTAGGTCGTCGGGCATTATATCCTTGTACTGCTCCAATACCTCCTCCTCTGCTGCTGCTATAACCAGTGCTAAGTAACCCGTGTTACTCTCGTTCAGTGTCCGTTCGAACCGTGCCAGTGTCGTTTCAGGAACGCTCCCTGTATCCGTCTAGCTTCGCAGCTCCACTCGTTTCCCGTTGTTGTAGATGCACACCTTGCTGTTGACCCAATCGATCTCGGGGTTGAACTGCTTCAGGAAATCTCGCCCCAAGATAAAATCTAATCCCTTGATGTTCGTGATCGGCAACGTCGGCTTCCACCTCAACGCCCCTATCTGCAGCTGCAGTGTTGACTTTCCGTGGATGGGAAGCTTCGTACCGTCCACCATCGTTGCTGTAAACTGGGTTTCTTCTTAGGATTCTCCAATTTTCTCCAACGTCCCGCGGTCGCACACCGAGTGGGACGTACCACTGTCCACCAGAGCCTGGAGGCGACGCCCGTTGCAGATCACCTCGAGTACTAGTGGTTGCTGCTGCTCCGAGTATCCGTAGATGGTATCGCTTATAGGATCATAGGGTACGTCGAATATGTTATCCCTAGGTCCTGCGCTCAAAGATGCAGCTTCAGTATCAGTTTTCAACTGAGAAAGGTTAGAAGGATTTATTCGAGGCCGATTCGGCTTCCCTTGGGCCTGGAACCTTCCACTAAGCCTTTGCAGCTGTGTAGGCTTCATCTGTGGGGAACAGGGAGCCTTTAAACAGTGCTGCTGGGAGAGAATATTAACTCCTCGGAACGCTCGACCCGTATTAGCGCTCTGGAGTAGGGTCCCCATAATACCCGGTACCGGTTTAATTTCTGACTCTCCCTTAATAAAGGCTTGAAACCCACGAGAAGTAATATTCTTACTTGTCGGGGTATACGGCTGGAGTTTCCCGGTCGGTGCAGGGTCTTGTTTCGCGGATCCTCCATTAGTCTCGGCGATTTCCCCTGGTGCCGGCTGGTCGTGACGTTTTAAATTTGCGCCACCATATTCTCCTTTTTTCGCCCTCTCCGAAGTTGCCACGTTGTCCGTTTTCTGCTTCGGGGGTGCCGCACTGTTCTTGTCCTTCAGCTCCGCACACCTTCTCTTCATTTTCCAACACGCCAAGATACGATGTCCTGTAGCGCCGCAAAATTTGCACGTCTCATTATTTGCTAGCCGCTGCTCCACATCGCCCTCGTCGTTCTCCATCGGGTCGGCAGTCGTGGGTGGTGCCAATCACCCCATACCACTAGTTGGCTTATTGCGTCGTGTTCCGTAGTACCTACTGTTCAACGTGTCAAACTGTTCGATCAGTGCTGCTGGAACCTGCGCCCACGTCCCCTCGCCTTGGACTATTCTGTTGTTGATCCACTCTAGAGCTGGGCCTCGTAACAGTGTTGCTGCGAGCCGTATGCGCATTGCGTCTTTTGTCGGGGTCGTGCATCTAACGGCTTCGAAGTAAATTTCGAGTTCAGCTACAAATCGACGAACGTCGTTCCTTTTTACTGTAGGATCGAACGCCTCCGGTAGCCTCAGCTTCACTGCTTCGAGGTTAACTATAGCTGCTGCCGTTGTCGCATGTAGAATTGTTGGTGTTGCCGCTGCTGTTGCTGCTACAGTTGTCGCTGCTGCTATGGCGGTTGCCGACAGGTTCTTAAGGAGTTTTTCGAGTCGTGGGAGCGCTGCACGTATTTGCTTATGCTCAGCACGTAACTCCGCGATTTTCTGTACTGAAATATCTCCTTTTCCCTCCATTTGGCGATTTACAGGAAGATGCGCGACGAAAATAATCAAATTCTAGGTGCTGGTCGACTTACTGCGAGTCAAATTGACTGTAGAATCGACGAGCGCGAATTCTGTAGGTTGCGTAAATCTCCCATAGGCGATATTCGCGTCCGATCTTGGCCGTTGAGGAGAAAATCGATCTGACGCTCCAAATTCCAACTTTTTGGGGCGAAATTCTCTGGGCCGTTGAGATGAAACTCGATCGAACGGTTGAAACTCCAACCTTTCTACCAGTAAATCTGAGGGGTGATCGAAAACCGAATCGAGTGGGACTTAGACAAATTGCGCGGAACTAGTTTTACATATCCGTATCGGCGCTTTCGTCGTCGCCCCCGCAGTTTTTAAAGGCCGGAACTAAGCGGTTGAAGACCTCGCGTGTAAACCCGCTCTGATTACCAAGTGTGAGGATCTGGGATCAAGCTCAGAAAAGATGATTCAAATTGAATTAAATGATCACCTGGGTACAACACAAGGCTATATATAGGCTCGACACAAGGCCCCGTAACCAGGTGTTACGCGAAGGTTCCGCGGGTCGCGAAGCGTCCCAAACAGATCCTTACCGAATTCGGTAGAAGGCAATTCGGTGGCAACCAAAAAGCCAGAATTCGGTGCACGCAACCTAGCTTGGTGCTATAACTATAATAAAATATAGTAAAGCACCTAGCCTAGGAAATCAAGCAATTCATGCATGCATATGATTATCCTATGCTAGAAATAGCATGATAAAGTAGAGGCAAGCAAGCATAGCTGGCATAAGCCGTCGTACTCTCACAATGAACAGTACAAGCAGAAAGTATGAGCTCGCAAAGCAACCCAATATGGAAGCTTTGCGGTTCGGTTGAATTGATTGTGCAGATTCAGTTCTATCCAACTCGGAAATGTACTGTTTTGTTTGGTTGACTAGTGTAGCGGGGCAGGCAGTATAGGGGTACAATTTAGGTGAAGTTAGGATGTTGTTTGTCTGTATCTGCTTGCTACAGGGCCAGGGGAAACCAGTGGAACCAGCATTTGGCTGGTTGTTGTTTTCTCAGGTTGGAAGAACAGAACCAGAGGTTTTTTACCAACCTACCACCTTCTGTTTTTTCCAGCCAGGTTGGTTCTGTTGCTTGGAGTTATTTGGGATCATCCCTGGTTGTTCCTAGGTTTTTTCCGAAGGTCCTTGCTAGCTATAACTATTTATTCCTTTTCTGGTTGAGCACACAAAAACCACTTGATAAAATGTCACGATAAAACCACCCCTTGCAGTAGCAGCACTCACATTCAAGCTCTGCCCACTCACACTCACGCTCTCACCATTCACACTCACGCTCTCCCTACTTACACTCACGCTCTTCCCACTCACAGTCACGCTCTCCCCACTCATACTCGCACTCACATGAGCAGCCGTTGCCCGTTGAGCACTGTGGATCGCTTGAGGCGCTCAAAGTTGAACTTCTCAGCCGATGCATGCAGATGTTCCATTGGGGGAGGGGGATATGGGATGAGACATGCGATGCCGAAAAAAGGGAAGGGATTACAGAGATTGTTGTCTGATCGTGTGGCAAAGAGAATAATGAGGAGTAATAAACACAAGTTGTATTTCATAGCACGAGGGTAGGTAGGTACACATGAAGGCTAACACCCTGCTGCAATTCAATCTGTTATTTATCACAAGATGCAGGCTGTACCTAGTCCACAATTAAGTGATCAGATCCTAGCCGTCCAATGATGAACCCAAGGTTGAACTGGCCAATCACGGCCATGCTAGCAAAGTCGTGGTGGTTGTCAAACCACCGCTCCAGCTCCCTCGCTACCGCCTCCAATGCCGCCTTTTTGCCCTCCCCCTCGCCATGCTAAAGCATCCTTCCTCCATTGCTGTGTGCAGCATTACTCGCACAATCTGTCACCGACACTGCTGCGAAGCTCCTCTGCCTATCACCACTACCGCGGCCTTCCACTCCCCTTCTTCCCTCCCTCTTCTCCCTTGCCTCCCTCTCCCGCATCTCAACTCGCCGCCGCCACACCTGCTGTACGCGCCGCATGTCAAACTGCACTTGCACGTTGCCTTCTCCGCCCTTCACCTCCCATCCTTCCCCAGACCGTGCCACTCGGTTCGCTTCGTACACGATGCAGCCCCCTCTTTTGTCTCCATTCCCTCCGCCCTAGCCTTTCCTTCGATTCCCTCATGTCTCTCGCCCCCTTCTAACTCCCTTGTGTGCCCGCCGCAACATCTCCCTTTCCATGCCCCCTTTGCCGCAGCTACCGCACAAATTTCCTGCTGCCCGGCCAACTGGGTGCCGGACAGCAGCTGTGAACCCACCAGTTTGGGCAGTACAGCCTGAGTCATTTCTTGCGTCATCAAGGGCAGATCCAAAACATTCTTTCCTGCCCAGTCATCTTGGGTTGCCTCCTGCAAGCCACCATCAACCGCACATAGGGCAGGACCACTCCTTTCTTCATCATTCTTTTCTGCTCCTTTCCACTCCGTTGCACTCCTTTGCACTTGCATATTCCCTGCCTTCCCATCTTCCTGCTCCACTTCCCTTACCTCGTCACTATCCTCATCCTCCTCTCTCATATCCTCCCTCCCATTCTCCTTTGCATTCTCCCCCCTCTCATCCTCCTCTATTTCCACTACTTCTCCCTCCAACGCCTTCCCACCCTCTTCTAACCAACCATCCCCAGCTCTTCTCCTCACACGTGTCCCTCCATCCACTCCGCCCATCTTGCCTCCCCTGCTTCCACTTCCATTTCGTCTGCCCCCAACCCTCTTCCCCAGCCACGCGTCTAGCCCCGCCTGTCTCCCATCCGCACCTCCCCGCGCCCTTTCCACCCCTCCGCTGCTCTCTCCCCCCACCCTTCTCCTTACCACCCTCTGCCTGCCCACACCCTGCGCCTGAATACCAATTCCCCCCATGGAACGCTGCCCCCCTGCCCTGCCACTGCCATTCCTTCTGCCCGCATTGCCTCCCTCACTCTCCCTCTCCTCATCCTCCTCTTCTATCTCTGGCTCTTCCTCTTCCTCTTGCTCTTCCACTTCTGCTTCCGCTTCCTCTTCCTCTTCCTCCTTTTGCTGTGCTCTCTGCCGGTCTTTCTCCCGCTCAGCAGCTTTCCTGTGTCACGTCTCAAACCCCTGCCATGCACGTGCCTGCTCCCCTCCACTCACTGTTCCCCGAGACAACAACCTCCTGTCCGCTGTGCCGCCACCACAAGTCATATCCCCGCCTCTGTCCTCACTCGTACCCACACGCACACCCCCAGCCCCACCCACACCCACACCGACACTCAAACCCAAGCCCAAGCCCTTGCTCTTGGCCTTGCCTTTGCCCTGGGGACTCATGAGCAGTAGTCGGCGCATGGCCGCTGCCTTGCTCTTACTCCACTGCAGTGTGCCTGCACTTCCACCTGCTGCTCTTTTTCCCCTTGCCGCACCCTCCATTGCCTCCTATTGTGCTGCTTCCCCCACTGCCGCCACTAGCGTTGCTTTCCCTCCTCCCTCGCCTCGCTCAAACTGATATAGAGGCTTCCTTCTATCCCCTTCCGTTTCCTCCACCTCCCCGCCTTCCGCCTCCTCTATCTGCCCATCCCCATCCCCATCACCATCCCCATCCCCAATCAACTCATCTCTCCTGCTCCCCCTCCCATCAGTATTCGCATCTCTTATTTCACCACCCCCTCGTGCACCAACAGCACCACCACCACCATCAGTATCACTATTCACCCTCACTCGCTTCCTCCTTCCCTCCCCCTCTTCCTCTCCATCCTCACCACCCTCCCCCTCATCCTCCCCATCCCCTACCCCTCTTCCCACACCCCTTCTCCCTTTTCCCTTCTCCCCAACCTCCTTCTTCACCCGTTCCTCAATATCCTTCGCTACCGAACCAGCCGGCGCAGCTCGGTAGACATACCTATTCGGAGAGTAAAACTCCGATAAAGCAGCTCTCAGCCCCGACAGCAGCGCCGCCTCCGAGTGCAAAAACACCTTGCGCTTATCCGGGGTCACGTTCACGTCGTATGCGTCCGCCCTAAGCGAAACGTTTAGGAAAGCGGTGGGGAACTGCAGGGAATTGAAGAAGCGATAGAGCTCGTTGAGCAGCTTGGAGAGGCGTGGCAGATCCACTGGACGCCCGTTGAGAAAGAAAAACTGCCGATCGCCCAAAGACCTTCCACTGCTTGCTCCTGGCCTTCACAAGAACCCGGCTACTCTGCAGCAGGAGGCTGGTAGCAGCGCAGAGGCAGTGGCAGCTGCACCGGTAGCAGCAGCAGGAGCAGGAGGGGCAGCGGTGATGGCAGCAGGGGAGAGAGGGAAGGTGATGTCGACTGGGTCGAGGCCTCCAGCAGCCTTGGCGCCAAACACAGGGATTATGTTCTCGCGCATCAACCCAGTGCCAGCTGTCTGCACCACAGTGATGCGCGCGCTGCTGCGCCCGCTCTGATTGGTGCAGAGGATGCGCGCGTGCGTGGAAACCACGCACTACGCCTGCAGCACACTCACCAGCTTCCCAAACTCGCGCCGCACGTTCCGCTCAAACTCCCGCCGCCGCACGGGCAGCGGCGAGAAAATCTTCGCCACACTGACCGTAGTTCCAACTACCCGGGCGACCTGTTCCCGAGGGGCGTCTAGGAGCTTTCCCGCTTGGTCGAACGCCAGCCGCGTTGCGATTGGCTCGTTGGCAGTGCGGGTGGTGATGGTGACGTCAGCAAGGGTGCTGAGGGAGGAGAGGGCTTCCCCTCGGAAGCCGAAGGAGGAGAGCGATTGAAGGTCGGCCAAATGGGCGATCTTGGACGTGTGGTACTTGAGGGTCAGTGCCTGCAGCAGTGTACGAGCGGAAGGGTGGGTGGAGGGGGTGGTGGAGGAAGGGGGAGAGGCGGGAGAAGTGCGAGGAGGGAGAAGAGAGGTTGGAGAAGCAAGAGTAGGGCAGAGGGAAATGAAAGGAGGACGGGAATAGAGGGAAGGAGGGGAGTTGAGTGGAAGCGGAATACAGTGGGTTGGCAGGTGGGTGGTGCTTGCAGTTCAACCCCTATTTACCCTCCACCCTCCAGCCAATTCCCAGTCAGATTCGTCCCGCTCCCTGTCACCTGCCAAGCCCCCGGCTCCTTCAAATGTACCTTTAACTCCCACACCCCCTTTGTCCTCACTGACCAAGCCCCCACCTGAAAGCTGGAACCTGCCATGCCACTTACGTCGCCCCTCACACTCGTTCGTTCACCTCACCATGTACTATGCTCATCATGTACTCTGCTCCAACCGACTTTATTACATTCACACAGCCTTCCCACGCACTTGCCCACCCACCGCCCCTGATGGACCCTTGACCGTCCTCAACGCCCCTCGACCACCCTCAACACCCCTCCACCGTCCTCAATGCCCCTAAAGTGCCAATATAGAACCCTCGATCCCAAGCTGTACGTGCCAGTTGTGGAGAGCGACCCCACAGCCGTTGTCCGCCATCTTGATGAGCTCCGCACCCCACCCCCTCAACCGCACCTCCACGCTCGCTCCCGCGCGCCCAGCCTGCCCACGGGCCGCCCTCAACGCCCCTTGGCCGCCCCTAGAGTTTGTTCAACGCTCCCTAGGCAGTCACGGCGTCACCTGCCAGTTGGGAGGAGTGACCCCACAGCCGTTGTCCGCCATCTTGAAGAGGTCCGCGCCCAAGTCCTTCAAGCGCACCTCCATGCTCATCGCCCCCGCGTCCAACCTGTCCATCAACCACACTCAACGCCCCTTGACCGCCCAGGAGCCCACTCAACGCTGTGAAGGCAGCGCAGGCGTCACCTGCCAGTTGGGGTGTGCGACCCTACAACTGTTGTCGGACACCTCAATGAGCTCGGCTCCCAAGTCCTTGAGTGAGGCGCACCTCCACACTCGCCGCCCCCGCGTCAAGGCTACCTGTTAACCGCCCACAATATCCCTAGAGCCCCCTTCACGTCACCTGCCAGTTAGGAGGCGCAACCCCACAGCCATTATCCGCCACCTCAATGAGCTCGGCACCAAACTTCTTGAGGCACACCTCCACGCTCGTCGCCCCCGCGTCCAGGCTGTTCTCCACCAGCTCCTTCGCCGCGCCCGCCACGTCCAACACCACCTGCGTGGGGGATGGGTTGCAAGGGAGAGGGGAAGGAGGGGGGAAGGGGGAAGGAGGCGAGGGTTGGGTGGTGAGAAGCTGGCCCCTAGGTTGTTCCCCACCAGCTCCTTCACCGCGCCTGCCATGTCCAACACCATCTGCGCACAGCGGATGGGGAGGGAGGGGGTGGGGAAGGAGGAGGGAAGTGGCAGGCGGGTGGTGGGAAGAAACAGGTACCCCACTGGCAGCGACAAAGCTCTCCACCAGCTCCCTCACCGCCTGCCACGTCCAGCACCACCTGCGCGGGGCGTTGGGGGTGCGGGGGTAAGGGGAGGATTAGGGGGGTGGTTGGTTGGTAAAAGCAAGAATTGTTGGGTGCAAATTCACATTGCACGACATCCTGCCGTCTGTTTGTATGAGTATGCGTGTGCAAATGCATTTGGGTGTGTTGGAATGTTCGTGTGTTTGTTTGCTTTCGCAATTTTCGCTTGAAGCATTTGCAGGTACTCGCGCATTATGCGCTTCGGCACAACATTGTACGCGCTATGAACAGTACAAGCAGAAAGGACGAGCTTGCAAAGGAACCCAAGATGGAAGCTTTGCGGTTCGGTTGAATTGATTGTGCAGATTCAGTTCTATCCAACTCGAAATTGTACTGTTTTGTTTGGTTGACTATAGTGTAGCAGGGCAGGCACTATAGAGGTACAATTTAGGTGAAGGTTGGATGTTGTTTGTCTGTATCTGCATGCTACAGGGCCAGGGGAAACCAGCGGAACCAGCATTTGGCTGGTTGGGCAAAGACAAAACAGGTTCTGTTTTTAGGACCTGAACCTGGTTGTTGTTTTCCCAGGTTGGAAAAACAGAACCAGAGGTTGTTTACCAACCTACCACCTGCTGTTTTGTCCAGCCAGGTTGGTTCAGTTGCTTGGAATTATTTGGGATCATCCTTGGTTGTTCCCAGGTTGATTCCCAAGGTCCTTGCTAGCTAGAGCTATTTATTCCTTCTCTGTTTGTTCCTGAATATAGTCAATTTGATTCAAGCGAATTCCTCCCTTCTTGGAATTTCGTTTCTACGCGGTGCGACGGCGGAATGCTACCCGAGTCAACGCTAGTACGCTAGCACTCCAACGCTAGGCAAACGCTGTTCGAGCCATAACTTTGTAATGGCAGAACTTTTCGCGAGGCAACTTGGCTTATTTTAAAGCTCTTGGAGTGAGCTTCGATATAGGAAATTCTCAGCTTAATCCGGTCGACGGTCTGCATGATACGCTGCGCGACGTTCAAGGTACTCTTGCTGTTTTGACTAAGTCCCTCTTGATCCCTCTCTCTACAAACTCGGATCCGAGGATAGGGGCTGGTCTTGTACCAGGCACCCAAGGACCCTTGGAGGTGACCCCGAAGAGAGGTTTTAAGTTTGATAAAGTCTTAATAGCTTGAGTTTATTAGGCCCTTACACCAACAAGAATTACACTAGCCGCGTCCGTGTTCTTCACCAGCTCTGCGACACGTTCCAGGGTTGCGATCCCAAGCGCGCCAATTTCAAGCTCGTGCGGCGGGGCGAAAGGCGAGCGGCAAGAGAGGGACAAAGGACGTGGTACAATTGCGGGTCGAGAGGAGCTCCCGGGTAAAGGGGAGGGGGGGGAGTTGGGGAGAGATTGGGGGCGGGATATTGGGGGGGGGGGGGGGGAAAGGTGGGAGAGGGGGAGGGCGGGCGAGACAAACTGCGCGAGGCAGACGACATTGCCAGTGGTGCTTGGTTAGGGCGGATGCAGGAAACTGTGCGGAGTAGATTGGCCACACGAACGGCTATTGCAGAATAACGACAAAACTAGTTAAAGGTTTGGCCTATCGGGCTTACCTGTCCCGGGCATATGCGGCGAATGGCGGTTTGATCTATTGCCTGGATCACGGTTCTCCTACCGCTGCTCGCGCTACCGCTAACGCCAGCGTTATTGCTTCTATTAGCTAGCATACCGTGAACTGGCATGCTCGAATAAACGGAACGAGTAAAACGATATGGATGGACTGTTCGCAGAGTGTGCTGCACTCCTGTGGGCGCTAGCGCTGTTGGCAGCTGCACGTGCACTGGTGGCAGGCAGGCACTGTCACTTGGCGTGCTGGCTATTGGCATGCGTGCAGCCGCTGCAGTACGCGGCAATGCGTGCGCTGCACGTGATGCTACTGGCTGCACGTGGCGCGCGCGTTGTTGCGTGGCCGTGGTGGCTGCGTGCGCGCGGCTGCTGCTAGTGTGTCGCGCGCTGCTGCTGCTAGTGTGTCGCGCGCTGCTGCTGCTTGTGCATGGTGTGTAGGCGGCTAGCGGGCTGTGTGCTTCACGCTACGCAGTGGCGAGGCGCGATGCCTGTGGACGACTGGTTGGCTGACGAGGAAGCTGGTGGTGTGGCTGACCAGGAGGGATTTAAGTAACTAATCTAAAGCTTAGGAACGATCCTATACGAGTATACTGAAACGTTGCTGGGCAGGGAAGTAGCAGCCTTAGTAGGCTAGGAAAACGGGTATGAAGTGCTCTTTGGAGTTCTCTGGAATTTCCAATATTTTCAACAAATTTCACACACAATTACATGGGATGCATTCACAAAGCGAGTCGCACTACCAAGTCGCGACACTATCAATTTCTTATTGGTAACTCTATCCCTTGAAAGAAAACCTTGCCGTGAAATTCATAGATTCATTGCGATGCGGGATTGGTCGACGATTTGATTACAAGGCTGTAACTTTGTCGGTGTGGTTGGCAAACTCGGCGAGGGGTTGAAACTTCGGTGTTCTACATTTCGTCATTTTCGTGCGTGAGATTGACTAGGGCTATGCGTCAGGATCTGGTCGCCCAGCTGCAGGTTGAGGCGTTTGACCAATACGAACAGTAGGTGAGGTGGCGCTTGATTTCTGCCCACCTACACTATACTTGGCAGCATTCGACTGCCACACTGTTACATATACCATCTAAGAGTAGTCGAAGTGAGTTTACTTGGAAAGAATATCGAGATGCACAGAGCAAGAGGTTGTACTCTCTAGGGAGTACCACGCTATATCCTAGCCTAACTTCATATATATAATCTGACGAACAAGTACAGTACATGCCTCTACTGCCACCGCAACCTGAAATAACAAAAGTGTTTTGAGGTGGTTACCAGGTGCCCAACAAGTAAACGTGAGGACGCATCACATTGCAACACCGGCGAGGATCAAGGTCGCACACTGAAGCTATGAACATCAATCTCCTCCGAGCCACTGACGAGAAGTGAGAATGGAATGAATGAACTATGAAACAGTTGGGTACAAGTACTAACCCTAATTGGGTTGTACCCCTTATGGGCTACCCCACTACAGCCTACACAAATGTATAAGCTATAATGTTGTGACACACCCCCATAGGCAAAGTGGGGGAGAACAAGTGGTCACAAGACCAGTCATGCAAAGCAAAGCAAAGCAAGCTCAGGGTGGATCACAAAGTCACCACACAGTCCAAGCACAAGAGTAAGGCCACAAGGCCAGTTCACATGCAAGGTCATATATATAAAGGTAAAACAAACAAGGGCAGGTATAGAAAGAATACAGTACAAACAAGATCAAGAAGTGGGAAAGTGAGGCCAGGTAGGCACAAGACCTAGCACAGTACAGAAGCGCTGATGATCACAAGGCGGAAGGGCCTTGGTGAAGATATCAGCAGTGTTGGCCTCAGAGGCCACGTAGGTGAGGCGCAGCTGACCACGCTGCTGCAGCTCATGAGACAGGAAGTAGCGGAGAGCAATGTGCTTTCTTCTGTGCTCCAGTCTGTGTTCCCGACACAAGGCCAGCATGGCCTTGTTGTCTACGTACAAAACTGGAGGAGAACGAGGCGGCTCTCCTAGGTTAGTCAGCAGGTAGGTGAGCCAGCGTAGCTCCTGTGCAGCCATGGCCCCTGCGTAGATCTCAGCCTCACAGCTGGAGCCGAGAACAGAGGACGAGCGGGTAGACCGCCACGAAACAGAGCCGGAGCCAAGGCTGAAGGTGTAACCCTGTGACGACCGCTGGTCGTCAGCCCAAGAAGCGTCAGCGTGACCTGTGAGGACTACTCGATGTCGCCCTCCAAGCACTAGCCCCATGCCCGACGTACTGCACACGTATCGCAACACCCTCTTCGCTGCAGCCATGTGCTCTGGTCTGTGTCTCCCAGGACCAACATAGCGTGCCAAGATGCTAAGAGGGTATGCAAGGTCAGGTCGTGTGCAGGTCATCAGGTACATGAGGCAGCCAACAAGCTCTGGGTACGGGCCACTCGGCTCTACGGACTCATCCGAAGGCAGAGCTGAGAGCGAGTGGCGAGTAGACAGAAGAGTGGCCTGAGGCGAGGAGTACGTGAAGCCGAAGCGCTGAAGGACCTGTTGCACCATGTGTGACTGAGTCAGGGAAATGCTGCGCTGTGCTCTGTCCCGGGTGATCTGCAAGCCAAGGTAGCTGCGCAGTTCACCCATGTCCGTGCATGTGTGTCTCTTCTGCAGCTCGGACTTCACGTGGGCGAGTCCAGCAGTGACAGCAGTGGCAAAGACCAAGTCGTCAACATACAAGAGGATGTAGAACGGCGGCAGAGAGGTGTTGGTGCGCGGAAACAGCAACGGGTCGGCTGTAGAAGGAGCAAGCCCAAGAGCCGCAAGTGTAGTCCTCAGTGTGTCGTGCCACTCAAGGGGCGCCTGGCGGAGACCGTAGACTGGCCGCCGGAGGCTCCACTGGGTACCAGGAAGAAACGACCCAGTGAAGCCAGGAGGGCGGCGCAGCCAGATCTCCTTGTGCAGGCTGCCCTGCAAGAAAGCTGTGCTAAAGTCAAGAGAGTGAAGCTCGTAGTCGCGCTGAGCGGCTATGTGCAGCAGCACCCGAACAGTGGTCATCTTCGGGGTGGGAGAGAAGGTCTGAAAGTAGTCAACTCCTTGCCGGTGACTGAAGCCTCGAGCCATGTAACGCGCCTTGAAGACAGGCGGAGAACCCGGCGGCCGCTTCACCCTGAAAATCCACATGCCACTGACGATGTTCGCCCCTGGTGAGGGAACCTCGTCGACATAGGTGGCTGTGGACTTCCAGGAAGCCATCTCTGCGTCCATGGCCAACTACCACTGAGAGGAGTAGGGACCCTCGATCGCCTCAGCGTACGATCGAGGAGTGGGGATGTCTGGTGCATCCGGGTCTCCCTCAGGGGCAATCAGCGTGGACACGAGATGGGGCAAAGCAGCCGCAAAGCACTGGAAATCCTCCTGCCTGTCCTCAAGGATATCCGTGTTAAGAGCACACTCACCCCCGACGGACGGAGGACAGACAGACTCAGACTCAGCAACAAGATTGGCAGCGTAGTCTAGACGACAGTGAGCACTGAAGTCGACAAGCTCAACAACTAGAACAGACGCAGCAGTGGACTCAAAGGAAGGGTCACTAACGACATTAGCAAGAAGGCGTGTGACCGAAGGACTAGTGGCACGAAGAGAGTTAGACTCCGGGTCAGCAAGAGAAGGAAGAGAGGACTCTGGAGGAGATGGCAAAGGGACACGCAGAGAAGCAGTGGACGGACGCAGTGCCATCTGGTGTGTGCCGGGGACCGCAGAAGGACGCGGACGCGCAGCACGACGACTGGTGCGAGCAGCTCGAAGAGGTGACGCAGGACGAGACGCAGGCTCACGACGCTCAGCAAGACCTCTAGTAGGTCCAGTGTAGGGAGAAGGAGCAGGTAGCGGGGAGGCGGGCTGTAACTGTGACTGCGACTGGACAGGCTGTGGACACTCTAAGGGAGGAGCAGGACCAGGAGAGGGAGGGAGACTAATAACCTGCTTTAGGAGCGGAACGAAGTACGGCCTCGGCCGCTCACCGCCTCCAGAACCAGTAAGGACCGCACCTCTACCCCCAGCGGCAGCACCAGCACCAGCAGAACCTTGAGCGCCAACTCCAATACCCTCAGAAGCACCAGCGCCAGTAGCACCGCCAGCGCCAACACCCCCAGCAGCTCCAGCTCCAGCAGCACCAACTCCAGTAGGATTGTCAGCACCAGCTGCCTCAGCAGCACCCCCTGACGCACCAGCACCAGTAGAAACACCAGCGCCAACACCCCCACCAGCTCCACCTCCAACAGCACCAGCACCGACAACAGCTCCAGTAGCACCCGCAGACTCAGCAGCACGTCTCCGGTGGCGGGCGAACCACTCGCGCAGCTCCTGTGGAGAGAGCGGCTCCCACATCGACGAAGCACCGCCGGCGGCCACATGAGCAAACCCAGCACCCCCAGGCACCGCACCCGTAGGCTCAGCACCCGTAGGCTCAGCACCCCTAGACTCAGCACCCCCAGGCTCAGCACCCCCAGCCTCAGCACCCCCAGTCTCAGCACCACCAGACTTAGCACCCCCAGACCCGGCACCCGCAGACCCGGCACCCGCAGGCTCAGCACCTCTAGCAGCACCAGAGTCAACAGCTACCTCGACAAGCTCGACTGCGTCTACCTGCGACACACTTGAAGGGGCAGGATCCTGAGGAGGGAGGGGGTCTACCTGGGTAGCACCTGGCGGAAGGAAGAACGGCGGCGGGGGGAGGGGCGCAGTGCGGTAGGGGAAGAGATGGTAGTAAGGAACCGACTCGTCAAAGATGACGTCCTGGGAGGACAGAACATGGCGCGAGGTGGGGTGGTAAAACTGGGGTAGCAGACGCAATGGCACCTGGGGTAGCAGACGCAGTGGCACCTGGGGCAGCAGACGCACTAACACCTGGGGCAGCAGACGCACGAGCACCTAGAGCAGCAGCCTCACCAGCACCTAGAGCAACGGCCTCAATGCCCGGGTCAGGTGGTACACACGTGTAACAGTCACCCTCAACACTAGTAGTCATAGAATACATGGGAGCAAGGATAGCATCATAGTCAAGATCAAAGACGGCAGCCCCCGCCCTAGACAGATCTCCCCAGCGAGGGATCTCTGACGCCTCAGGGAAGTGGTGACGCCACGCGTCCGTCAGGTGACCAAAGCAGCGCTGGGTGGAGTGCGGACCTCCGCATTGCTCAGCGGTGCGGTCGCCGGTACGGAGAACGTAAGAGCATGGACCAAAACCCCCACCGCGCTGGCGTGCAGTGTACCACTCACGAAGCTGCTGACGGGACAGGGTCACACCACTCCGCTGCTGCAGCTGGCGCTGACCACCACTGGCGCGACTCCTCGGCGCAGAGTCGCGACTCACTCCACCACCGCCGCCTCCGCCGCCGCCGCCTCCTCCGCCTCCGCCGCCTCCTCCACCTCTGCCTCCTCCACTACCTCCGCCGCCTCCGCTCCCTCCGCCACCTCCACCGCCTCCGCCGCCTGCACTGCTGCCGCCGCCACCGCCACCCCCGCCACCACTCCCACCACCACCCCCACTCCCTCCACCGCCTCCACCACCACCTCCACCGCCCCCTCCACCCCCTCCAGTGCCCTTGCCCCCCTTGCCCTTGCCGGTGCAGCGTCTCCCGCTCGGGGAAGACGCAGCGCCGACTGACTCGAAACCAACAAGGTCGGCCGCAGCAGCAGAGGCAACAGAGGGCCAGAGGGGGGAGGGAGATTACCCCTCAAAGACGGGGGTGCAAGGGTCACCACCAGAGGCTCCTACAGCGACTATGGTCTTCTCTATCGCTAGGAAGGCCTTCTCGAGGAGGTCAACAGTGAAAGTGGTGGGGCAAACACAGAGGAAGTGGTCCCTGACTACCCGAAGAGAGTCAGGGAGTCGGGTTACTATGTAGTAGAGGGTGATGTACATGGGGGGGGGGTTTTGGTGCAGAACTCAGCAGGAAGCGCAGCGCGGTAGCGAGTGTCACTAGTGCGGAGGTGCGTAATGAGATCAGCGACACTGGGAAAGGCAGCAAGGTCAGGGAAGTGTTGGTGTAAGGGCCTAATAAACTCAAGCTATTAAGACTTTATCAAACTTAAACCTCTCCTCGGGGTCATCTCCAAGGGTCCTTGGGTCCCAGGTACAAGACCAGCCCCTATCCTCGGGTCCGAGATTGTAGAGAGAGGGATCAAGAATGACTTGGTCAAAATAACAAGAGTACCTTGAACGTCGCGCAGCGTATCGTGCAGACCGTCGACCGCCCTAAGCTGAGAATTTCCTATATCGAAGCTCACTCCAAGAGCTTTAAAATAAGCCAAGTTGCCTTGCGAAAAGTTCTGCCATTGCAAAGTTATGGCTCGAACAGCGTTTGCCTAGCGTTGGAGTGCTAGCGTACTAGCGTTGACTCGGCTAGCATTCCGCTGTCGCACCGGGTAGAAACGAAATTCCAGGAAGGGAGGAATTCGCTTGAATCAAATTGACTATATTCAGGAACAAACAGAGAAGGAATAAATAGCTCTCACTAGCAAGGACCTTGGGAATAAACCTGGGAACAACCAAGGATGATCCCAAATAATTCCAAGCAACAGAACCAACCTGGATGGACAAAACAGCAGGTGGTAGGTTGGTAAACAACCTCTGGTTCTGTTTTTCCAACCTGGGAAAACAACAACCAGGTTCAGGTCCTAAAAACAGAACCTGTTTTGTCTTTGCCCAACCAGCCAAATGCTGGTTCCGCTGGTTTCCCCTGGCCCTGTAGCATGCAGATACAGACAAACAACATCCAACCTTCACCTAAATTGTACCTCTATAGTGCCTGCCCTGCTACACTATAGTCAACCAAACAAAACAGTACAATTTCGAGTTGGATAGAACTGAATCTGCACAATCAATTCAACCGAACCGCAAAGCTTCCATCTTGGGTTCCTTTGCGAGCTCGTCCTTTCTGCTTGTACTGTTCATAGCGCGTACAATGTTGTGCCGAAACGCATAATGCACGAGTACCTGCGAATGCTTCAAGCGAAAATTGCGAAAGCAAACAAACACACGAACATTCCATTCACACCCAAATGCATTTGCACACGCATACTCATACAAATAGACGGCAGGATGTCGTGCAATGTGAATTTGCACCCAACAGGAAGAGGTATGGTAGCATGAGGCGGCTCAGTGCAGCAGTGGCAGAGGAAGAGTAGCGTGCAAGTACAGCGTCGTACAAGGTCTGAGCACTCTTGTACTGGCTTAAGTGTGCACGCTCAGTGGTCGGTAAGTGGCGGCGCACAGCAAGGCGAGGAGCAGCGTGTGTGGCCCACTGTGAGCGAACAGTGGCATCAGCATCACCAACAGGGGCAGGGGAGGCACCAGAAGTGAGGTCAAACAGGGAGAGGCCGTCTGCCCTATCGCACTGCAGAAAAAGCTGCAGATAATCTACCCAGACCTCAAATTCCACTGCCCGACCCTCAGCGTCAAAGGTGAGAACGCTAGGGGAAGCCATAACAGCTGTAGGCAGAGCAGTGCAGTGGCAGAGACTGTGCTCTTACCAGGTAGGTGGGGCGATCGGGCTGCTCGGCGGCTCGGCTGTCTGGCGGCTCGGATGCAGGGCGGCTCGGCTGCTGGGCGGCTCGGCTGTCGGGCGGCTTGGCTGCTGGGCGGCTCGGCTGCTGGGCGGCTCGGTTGCTGGGCGGCTCGGTTGCTGGGCGGCTCGGGCGGTCGGGCGGCTGAGCTGGCCGGCGGTTCGGCTGCTCGGCGCTGAGGGCGCTGGGCGGGGGGGTTCAGGTGGTGGCGAGGTCGCAAGGGTGGGCGGGGCCGTGGTGGCAACGGGGCCGACGTGGGCGACGTACCGGGGCCGCGACGGGGCCGTAGCGGGGCCGACGGGGCCAAAGTGGGGCCTAAGTGGGGCCGTAGCGGGGCCGACGGGGCCGTAGCGGGGCCGTAGCGGGGCCTAAGCGGGGCCGTAGCGGGGCCGACAATGGCGGCTAAGCGGGGCCGTAGCGGGGCCGTAGCGGGGCCGCAGTGGGGCCGTAGCGGGGCCAAAGCGGGGCCAACGGGGCCCAAGAGGGGCCTAAGCGGGGCCGTAGCGGGGCGGACGGGGCCTAAGTGGGGCCGTAGCGGGCCCTGCCGTCGCGGCCCTGTTTGAAGCCGTCGCAGCCCTGCCCTACCGTCGCGGCCCTGCCGCCCTGCCGTCGCGGCCCTGCCACCCTGCCATCGTGGCCCTCCTTAACGCCGTCGCAGCCCTGCCCTGCCGTTGCTGCCCTGCCGCCCTGCCGTTGCGGCCCTGCTGCCTTGCCGTCGCGGCCCTCCCTGAAGCCGTTGCGGCCCCGCCTTGCCGTCGCGGCCCTGCTTGGAGCCGTCGCGGCCCTGCCTGGCGCCGTCACGACCCTACCTGCCAACCCCGCGGCCCTTTCTACGGCCGAAGTCGCGGACCTGCCTACCGCCGCTGTTGCGGCCCTGCCTACAGCCGCCGTTGTTGCGGCTCTACCTTGCGCCCGTGTCGCGGCCCTGACCTGCCGGCGCACCGCGGCCCTGCCCTTCCAGCTGCGGCCCTACCCCGATCCCGCCCTGGTAAATGCACCGCCGCAACCGCGCCGCCCTGCCGAGCCGCGCAGCCTTACCGAACCGCGCCGCCCTACCGAGCCGCGCCGCCCTGCCGAGTCGCGCCGCTCTGCAGAGTCGCGCTGCTCCTGCTGCTTCTGCTGCTACTGCTATTGCTACTGCTAGTGCTACTGCTGTCATGGCTACCCCTAAGGTACTTACCTTCGATGCTGAGGGTCGGGCAGTTGATTTCGAGGTCTGGGTTGATGATCTGCAGCTGTTTCTGCAATGCGATTCTAGAGACGGAGTCTCACTGTTCGATCAAACGTCCGGCGTCTCTGTTGCACCTGCTGCTGATGCAGACAATGCTGTTCGCTCGCAATGGACCACGCGCGATGCTGTTGCCCGTCTAGCTGTTTGTAGTCACCTGCCGTCTGCTGAACGTGCGCACTTTAGCCACTACAAGACCGCTAGGACTCTGTACGACGCTGTTGTTGCGCGCTACTCCTCCCCTGCCACTGCTGCCCTTAGCCGCCTCATACTGCCGTACCTATTCCCTGACCTAGCTGCTTTTGCCACAGTTGCTGACCTCATTACACACATCCACACTAGTGATACCCGCTACCGCGCTGCACTTCCTCCCGAGTTCTGTGCTGCGAAACCCCCCCCCCCCCCCCATTGTGCACATCACTCTCTACTACCTCGTCACCCGGCTCCCTGACTCCCTTCGCTCGGTTAGGGACCACTTCCTCTCCCTTTGCCCCACCACGCTCACCGTTGACCTCCTCGAGGAGCGCCTTCTTGCAGCTGTGAAAAGTATAGTTGCTGTAGGAGCCTCTCGTGGCAACCCTCGTGCCCCTTTCTTTGAAGGGTGCTCCCCCGTTCCCCTTTTAGCATCGTTCCCCTTTTTTCCCCGTTCCCCTTTTAGTTATAGCACTGAGCTAGGTTGCGTGCACCGAATTCTGGCTTTTCGGTTGCCACCGAATTGCCTTCTACCGAATTCGGTAAGGATCTGTTCGGGACGCTTCGCGACCCGCGGAACCTTCGCGTAACACCTGGTTACGGGGCCTTGTGTCGAGCCTATATGTAGCCTTGTGTTGTACCCAGGTGATCATTCAATTCATATTCTCTTTTCTGAGCTCGATCCTAGATCCTCACACCTTGCATCCATTCATCTATTCTTCCCTTTGTTTATCCTTTCCTTCCTATGTTCTTCCTTTCGTCCATCCTTCCCTTCCTCTGTTCCTCCCTTCATCCATCCATCCTTCCATCCGTCCTTCTGGTCGTCTATTCCTCCCTTCCTCCCTACATCCCTTCCTGTTTGCTCCGTGCTTCACCTCCCCTTCTCCTCACCTGATTGCTCTACGCGGCCTCATTGCAGGGACTCCTCGCAGGGAAAGAAGGGGAAAGGGAGGAGAATAAGGTGGAGTAGGGGAAGAGGATGATTCGATTGTGAAAAGAGAGTGTAGGAGGGTTCGTGTGGGTTAAGCCACCAGTGTCTCCCTCCTCTTGTCTCCTTTTCTGCCGTCCACACCTCCTATCGCCCTCTGCTACATCTCTCCAACTGCAACTTTGCAAGCTTCAGCTGGTCATGTACACCCCTCCTATTTTGCCCCATACCCTCCCAATTGTTTTACCCATCCCCCTCCTCATTGTCTCCCCTCCGCAAAAAGAAAGTAGTAGCGACTGAAGGGACAATAGGTGAACGAATGGGAAGAGGAGAGAAGGCAGCGGGGTGGAAAACCAGGGCGACGGCGCGTGAGAGGGGAGTATGCATGGGCGACGGGGAAAGGAAGAGAGGGCAAATAAGATGGAAGCTCGACAAAGAGTCGGCGGCGGGAATGAGAACGACGTCGACGCAGCGACAGGTGGGAGAGATGAGGTCGACGGGGCGAGCGATGGGGCGGGGAAGCCAAGGCGACGGGCGGGGGAAGCGTGTAACGCACTGCTACCTACTTTCCCGCCTAACTCCCTAACTAACAACCTAACACTCTAAGGCATTCGTCGAGATGGCTCTCAATAGATATTGGGCTACGAGTGATTGAAGGTTGAGTTGGGAGCAGGCCTGTCGATTGACGGGCATATGCACTTAATGCCCTGAAATTTTGGGCTACTTTCGCTCCAGCTTTACTGCATAAAGTGTTTGGATCACCCTGCATCCGTGCCACTAAGTGTTTTGTTCGACCCTTCCCCGGATGCGTTAAGTGCTCCAACCAGGCCTCCCCCACCCAAAAAGTTTTGATTTCCGGTTCTAGGACCCCCCCCCCCCCCAAAGAATTTATGCCTGACCCCCTTACCCCTCCCCCCTTTCTCCTTAGGTTGTACGAGAGTGCGCCAAGGGGATTTTTCCCTTAGTGTTTTCTAGCCAATCCCGTGTTTGTGATATCTCAAAGTCAGCTTTGGAGCAGCCAAAATTTCCCTTAGCTAAGATAATATAAGTGCAAGCCCGGATATCAAGTTTTCACTTTGGCCTGCGCTCGTGACCGTTAAGAGCGACAAAACACTCAGCTACGGCCAAAACAAGGTCAGATAGGGAGGAGCTGGGGACTTCAAGTATGGGCCCCACGAACTTCGACAGGCCTGGTTGGGAGAGAAGGTTGGGTCGGGAGAGAAGGTTGGGTTGGGATTATTTCCAAACCTGAACCAATAGGATTGGGAAACTCCAACCCATCGAAGTGAAATCACAAAGGTTGGATTTCCAACCAATCACATACTGCCAGTTCAATGTTACAAACTACTCTATCTTAAAAACAACCACTCAATGGTTCTCAATTGGGTTTTCCCAACCCAACTAATTGCCACATAGGCTCCAAGCCTAGGGACCATCCCACCATGGAAACCATGGTTGGGAAAATCCCCCAAGGGCTGTATTGAGGGGGTTTGAGCGACTTGGAAAGCTCCCACAGTGCGAGTGCATAGTGGGGCCCTGAGGGAGCATCAAGGTTGGACAGTTTGAAAGAGCGTGAGGGGTGAAAGACGATGATAATGGAAGGGTTGTTTCCAAGCAACACTGTGTGCTACATCTGAAGCAATCCAGGGCCTTGTTCGGCAGGCGTTAAAAAGGCATTAAGAACGTGTTAAATCGCAAACCACAAAGTTTTAGGGGAAATCCGTCGGGCCGAATCTGCGAATGTAACCGGGTTGCAAAATTCACAATTTATTTGCGGAATTCGCAAAATTCTCAAAAAAATAAATGGATTTTATGGTCGTATAACGAGACGTCGTCAAAGTGACACCGCAACGTCCCCAATACAGCCACGAAAAATGGCCCGTCGTTGTGATAGAATAGCGCGGGCTCACGCAAAGGGGCGTGCTGTTTAGAGTTTCCCAACTGACCTGACTGACCTGTGATCTTTGTGACTGACCAAAGCAGTAATGCTTAGCAAGCAAGAGAGCAAAAATGGTTGGTGATTGACAAATTGTTGAATGACGGTGGGGAGGAGTCCTTCCTCTATATACTGTACCGTGGTGTGGCCGATGCGATGCATCAACCGCAATTCAAATTTGTGCGACTCGGCCGTAGCTTGCAGCACAACCATTGGATAGCGTGCTGCGTTTGATTAGAACATTCCAACGGTGACCAAAGCTTCTAGAACGTTTGATAGGCGATATTCGTTGCTTTGCCTTCCTTCCTCGGAGGCTCGCCGAAGCAGGCAACCTCGATATGACGGGGTTTCTCTGCTGCGTAAGAAGCGTTGGAAGGCAGAACCTTGAGTTGAGGTTACAGATCTCAGACATAAATATTTAGTGTGCAAAGCATACAACCTTTTTTTTTATAATTATGTAGTAGTCAATCATTTCCAATTACTTAATCAATCATGTACAGCTGTACTGTATATTTTTTCACAACAAAAATATGAAGGACCTGTTGCAAATCCCTAAACCTACCAATATATATATCCATGTCTTGCATGTTCTTATAAAAAAAGCCTCAAGTCAAACATGTGCCGCATGGAAAGCTCGTTGAGTTGTCACGTAGTGATGCTTCTTGGCGGTTTCGTGCATCAGATGCAGCCCCTATTGCATCTTTCTTGGCAGTTGTTACATGACAACGGACATCATCAGTGGCAGAGGTAGAGGAGCAGGTTCTGGGTCAGGGAGGGGCGCGTCTGCCAGCATTGAGATAAGCTCACACACATCTAGATGACGGGAGCAGGAGAACAAGAGGGGCACATTTGGACCATATGAGATGAGGAGAATCTAGATCATGGCGAGAGGGCAAGGTGCATGATAATAAAACATGGCAGACATACAAAGTCGAAATATATTGGCAGGTGTAGAATGTTTGCCCGTATAGATAATACTGGTATTTGCTTGATCATGGGGTATGTGGCTGTCAAAATATTATGATGCTCTTGTTGTATAGGCTGTAGTGGGGTAGCCCATAAGGGGTAAAACCCAATCAGGGTTAGTACCCATACACGGCTTTATTCTCAATGCATCCATTCTCGTTCAGCATTCTGACAGTGGCAGCGACAGAAGCGGTTTGTATACGATATAAAAGTTCCGTAGAAAGAATAAGCACCAGATCATGTGAACCAAGCACCGGCCAAACTCACCCGAAGCAAGAAAGACAATGTTCTTCGAGAAAGGGATGGCAGAGAGGCAGAACCGACGGCCCGATGGAGCACTCTCATCCACGGAGAAATGAAAGCCATTGGATCTGATGAGAAGGGTGTATAGACATAAGAGTTGGGCGATGTAGGCAGTGGAGAGGAAGGGTGACAAGACCAAAGGGCCGATGAACACAAAGAAAACGTGAGGAGATAAAAGATGTCAATATACAGATGACATGAAAAGCCGATGAACACAAAGAGAAGATGAGGGGATGAGAGATGTCAACATAGAGATGACATGAAATTTGATGTGTACAAATGGAGAAAGGGCATGAAGGAGGGATATCTAATTGCACGGTCATGAAACGCCACAGTGGCTTGACAAGGATGTGAGGGTGTGACAACATGGCTATAAGAGGCGATAACAAAAAGGGGTGACGCGGCAAGGCAGTAAGAGGAAGTTAAAGTGGAGATCAAATCTGTGTGCTCCAAAGTTGTTGGCCAGATGTGATACATGGTGCAATGACAGCAGCACACTTGGTCGAAGTGTGGTAAATGTGTGTTCTCAATGACGCGATCACATGACACACATCACTAGCGTGCACCTGAATGTTGGCATGTGTGCCGATACAATCATTTCCTCTGGTGGTGGCAGATCCAGCCATTGAGGCCTGCAAGAGAGTCCAGGGAGGAGCATCATTGAAAACGCCAAGCAGATATAAGCAACAAAAGAACGAGTAACAAAAGAGAGCATAGGCGAGAAAGTATTGAAGAACATAGGCAAGCACCACCTAGGTGGGTGGGGCTCAATGATTTGAATCAAAAATAAGATAGAAATATGCCCTCTCAATACCATCACTCACACGAGCAGTGGTCGCTAGAAGCATGGATTGCACGAGCCACTCAAAGCTGGTCTAAGATTTTCCCTTTTAACATTTGAACCTAACTTTCAGTCGTACAACAATTAGATGGACACCCACTGTGGTTTTCTACCATCCACATTGGCGCCACTCATACTGACGCCACTCATACTTGCACCATTCTCACTCGCACGAGCAGTGGCTGCCTGTTGAGCATGGTGGATCACATGAAGCGCTCAAAATTGTACTTCTTGTCTGATGCATGCTGATGTGGCATTGGGAGGGGGGGAGGACGGAGGAGATATTGGACGAGAAGCAAAAAGGGACGATTGGATGAGATGAGGAAAATCAAGATGAGATGACGGGAGAATCCTCGATTGGATGTGTGTTTAGAACGATAAAGAGGTAAGAAAGGATATGAATATTATACACAAAAATGTAAGGCACAACGCTTGGTATAACTCATACCAACATGCATGCTGTTCCTGGTCCACAATGAAGAGATCAGATCCCAGCCGTCCAATGATGAACCTGAGGTTGAACTGGCCAATCACAGCCATGCTGGCGAAGTCGCGCTTGTCAAACCGCCGCTCCAGCTCCTTCGCTGCCGCCTCCAACGCCGCCTCCTTGCCCTCCCCCTTGCCATGCTGAATCGTCCTTTCACCACTGTTCTGTGCAGCATTACTCGCACCATCTACCACCGACACCGCTGCAAAGCTCCTCTGCTTCTCGCCCTTGCTGCACCCTCCCACTCCTCTTTTTCCCTCCCTCTTCTCCCTTGCCTCAATCTCCCGCATCTCAGCTTATCGCCGCCACACCTGCTGCACGCACCACATGTCAAACTGCACTTGTACGTTGCCCTCTCTTCCCCTCACCTCCCACCCTTCCCCTGACCATGCCACTCGCATTGTACCTAGCGCAGCCCCCTCTTCCATCTCCATTCCCCCTACCCTAGCCCCTCCTTCAATTCCCTCTTGTCCCTCGCCCCCTTCCAACTTCCCTGCGTGCCCGCCGCAACATCTCCCCTTCCCTGCCCCCTCTGCCACTGCACAATTTTCCTACTGCTCGGCCAACTGGGTGCCAGGCAACAGCTGTCAGCCCACCACTTTGGGCAGGTCAGCTTGGGTCATCTCCAAAAAACTTTTCCCAACCCACTCATCCTGGGTTGCCTCCTGCAAGCCACCATCAACCGCACATAGGGCAGCACCATTCCTTTCCTCACCATTCTTTTCTGCACCTTTCCATTCCCTTGCACTCCTTTGCAATTGCATTTCTCCTACTTCCCCATCTTCCTGCTCCACTTCCCTTAACTCATTACTATCCTCATCCTCCTCTCTCTCATCATCCTCCCTCTTATTCTCCTTCGCATTCTCCTCCCTCTCATCCTCCTCTATCTCCTCTACTTTCCCCTCCAACTCCTTCCCACCCTCTTCCAACCAACCATCCCCCCCCCCCTCTCCCTCACACGTCCGCTCTCATCCACTTCGCCCATCTTGCCTCCCCCACTTCCCCTTCCCCTTCGTCCTCCCCCGCCTCGCTTCCCCAGCTAAGCATCTAGCCCCACCTGTCTCCCATCCACACCTTTCCGCGCCCCTTTCCACCCCCTCCGCTGCTCTCCCCCCTCACCCTTCCCCTCCCCACCCTCTGTCTGCCCATCCCTTGCGCTTGAGTAGCAGCTCCCCCATGGAAATCTGCCCCTCTCCCCTCAATGCCCTACTGCTGCCATTCCTTCTGCCTACATTTCCCTCAGTCTCCCTCTCCTCATCCTCCTCTTGTTTCTCTTCCTCTTCCGCTTCCTCTTCCTCTTCCGCATCTGCTTCCTCTTCCTCTTCCTCTTCCACTTCCGCATTTCGCTGCGCTCTCTGCCGGTCTCTCTCCCGCTCAGCAGCTGCCTTGTGTCACGTCTCATACCCCTGCAATGTACATGTCTGCTCCCTGCCACTCACTGCCCCCCGAGACAACAAAATCCAGTTTGCCCTGGCGCCAACAGTCGTCACATCCCCGCCTCTGTCCTCACTCCTACCCACACGCACACCCTTACTCACACCCAAACCCAAACCCAAGCACATGCCCTTGCCCTTGGCCTTGTCTTTGCCCTGGGGGCTCATGATCAGCAGTCGCCGCATGGCAGCTGCCTTGCTCTCACTCCACTGCAGTGTGCCCGCACCCCCACCTGCTGCTCTTTCTGCTGCTCTTTTTCCCCTTGCCGCCCCTACCACTGCCTCCTCTTGTGCTGCTTCCCCCACTGCTGCCCCTAAAGCTGCTTTTCCTCCTTCCTCCTGGCGCTCAAACTGATGTAGAGTCTTCTTTCTGTCCCCCTCCCCTTCCTCTTCCTCTCCACTTTCCACCACCTCCTCCATCTGCCCATCCCCATCCCCATCACCATTCATATTGAACTGATCTCCCTTGGCCCCCCTCCCATCAGCATCTGCATCTCCTATTTTACCACCCCCTCGTGCACCAGCAGCAGCACCACCACCACTATCACTAATCACCCTCACTCGCTTCCTCCTTCCCTCCCCCTCTTCCTCTCCATCCTCACCACCCTCCCCCCCATCCTCCCCATCCCCTACCCCTCTTCCCACACCCCTTCTCCCTATTCTCTTCTCCCCAACCTCCCTCCTCGCCCGTTCCTCAATCTCCTTCGCTACCGAACTGGCTGGCGCGGCTCGGTAGACATACCTATCCAACGAAGAAAACTCCGACAACGTCGCTCTTAGCCCCGACAGCAGCGCCACCTCGTAGTGCAAAAATACCTTGCGCTTATCCGGGGTCACGTTCACGTCGTACGCGTCTGCACTAAGCGAAACGTTTAGGAAAGGAGCGGGGAATTGCAGGGAGTTGAAGGAGTGGTAGAGCTCATTGAGCAGCTTAGAGAGGCACGACAGATCCACCGGGCGCCCGTTGAGCAAAAAAAACTGCCGATCGCCCGACGACCTGCCACTGTCTGCTTTTGGCCTTCACATGAACCCGGCTACTTTGCAGCAGGAGGTTGGCGGCACAGGGGCAGTGGCAGCAGCAGTGACAGTAGCAGCAGGAGGAGAAGGAGAAGCAGGAGCAAGAGGGGCAGTGGCAGCGGCAGCAAGGGAGAGAGGGAAGGTGATGTCGACAAGATCCAGGCCCGCAGCAGCGTTGGCGCCAAAGACACCGATGGTGTTCTCCCGCATCGACCCTGTGCGACCTGTGTGCACCATAGTGGTGTGCGCGCTGCTCTGCCCACTCTAATTGGTGCAGAGGATGCGTGCGTGCTTGGACACCACGCAGTACATCTGCAAGACGCTCACCAGCTTTGCAAACTCCCCCCGCACGTTCCGCTCAAACTCCCGCCGTCGCACGGGTAGCGTCGAGAAAATCTTTGCCACGCTCACCGTCGTTCTAACTGCCCGAGCGACACGTCCCCGAGGGGTGTCTAGGAGCTTTCCAACATGGTCAAATGCTAGGAGCGTTGCTATGGGCTCGTTGGCGATGCGGGTGGTGATGGTGACATGGGCGAGGGCGCAGAGGGAGGAGAGGGCCTCCCCTCGAAAGCCGAAGGAGGAGAGCGACTAGAGGTCAAAGAAGTGGGTGATCTTGGACATGTGATACTTGAGGGTCAGTGCCTGCAGCAGTGCAGAGAGGGAGAGCGGGTGGAGGTGAGAGAGGTGAGCTTTGAGTGCATTTAAACAATCACCGTGATCGGAGATTAAAGAAGTGAGCGATTTGGGACGTGTCGCACTAGAGGGTCAGTGCCTTCAGTATTGCAGAGATGGAGGACGTGTGGTACTCGAGAGTCAATGCCTGCAACGGTGTAGAGGGAGTAGGGAATCGGTGATTGGCCGGGGAACTGGGAATAAGAGGTGGGCAAGAGGGAGGGAAAGAGGAGAGGAGGGAGGTTATAGAGGAGAAAAAGGGGAGAGGAGGACGGGGATAGAGGAAGAAGGGGAGCGCGATCGGGAAAGGAAATACAGGAGGTTAGAAGGTGGGTGGTGTTATGCTTGTACGTCAGAGCCAGCAACCTGTAAGACCAACATATTCAACGATTTACTCCAACAATCTCTGTGCCAAGTCCTATTTCCTTCATGCATACCTTACAGATTCTCACCCCCATCGCCCTTACTCTCCAAACCCCCCACCTTCCAGTTGTCACCTGCCACACCACACCCCCCGTAGGCCTACAAACCTATTTGAGCGCTCTGGATTGTGCTATGCTTCGACAGCCGCAGCGCCCACAATCCTGAGCACTCTCAACGCACCTTGACCACCCGCAACGCTCCTTGCGCAGTCAAGATCTCACCTGTCCGTCAGTTGGAGGGCGAAACCCTACAGCTGTTATTCGCCACTTCCTCATTCGCCGCTCCAGCGTCCAGCCTGTCCATCAACCGCCCTCAACGCCCCTTGACCGCCCAAGAGCCCGCTCACTGCTGCGTACGCAGCACAGGCATCACCTGCCAGTTGGGGGGCAAGACCCTGCAGCCGTTATCCGCCACCTCAATGAGCTCCGCGCCAAAGTCCTTGAGGCGCACCTCCACGCCCGCCGCCCCCGCGTCCAACCTGTGCATCAACTGCACTCAACGCCCCTTGAGTGGCCTTAACGTCACCTGCCAGTTGGAGGGCGAAACCCCACAGCCGTTGTCCGCCACCACAATCAGCTCGGTACCGAAGTCTTTGAAGCGCACCTCCACACTCGTTGCCCCCGCGTCCAGATTATTCTCAACAATCTCCTTTACCGCGCCCGCCACGTCCAACACCACCTGCGTGGGGGATGGGTTGCAAGGGAGAGGGGGAGGAGGGGGGAGGGGGGCAGGAGGTGAGGGCTGGGTGGTGAGAAGCTGGCCCCCAGGCTGTTCCCCACCAGCTTCTTCACCGCGCCTGCCATGTCCAACACCACCTGCGTGGGGGGAGGGGGATTGAGGAAGTTGGGAGTCTGGGGATGCAGGGAAACATGTACCCCGCTAGCCACATCCCGGCTTTTCCTCACCGTCACCACTGGGTCCAACACCAATCCTGTGGGAGATTGGAGGTGGAGAGAGGAGTGAGGGGGGGAAAGGACGCGGGGTATTTGGGTGGAAAGAGGCGGGTCTCTCACTGTCCACATCCAGGCTCTCCACCAGCTCTTCTCCGCCACTTTCACGTGCAAAACCACATTGGATGGGGCGTTGGAGGGGCGGGAGGAAGGAGGAGGGGGGTGTTTGGGTGGGGATAAGCAACTGTGCACTAGCCGCGTTTATGTTCTCCACTGGCTCTGTGACACGTATCAAGGCTGCGATTCGCAACGTGGCGTGCGGAGCTCCAAAGCGCGTCTATTCAGGCTTGCGCGGCGGGACCACAGCGAGTGACGAGAGGGGGGGACGAAGGACGGGGTACTATTGCGGGTTGAGAGGAGCTCCGGGGAAGGGAGAAGCGGGGGAGGGGGAGGGGGATGGGGAAAAGGGGCAAGACAGACTGCACGTCGCCAGTGATGTTGGTTGAGGACAGACGCACGTGCGAAATTTATTTGGCCACACGAAGGGCTATTGCAAAATAACGACAAGACAAGTTAACGGCTTGACCTATCGGCTCACCTGTAGTATGGTCAGTCATACACTCAACCATCCAATCCTAACGTAGTATGGTCAGTCACAAATATATTAGATACTGAATGATGGTTGACTATGGTGGGTTGGGGTACATAAACCTAACCCTAACTGCTGTCCCCCATATGACACGCATCATTAAAGGCTATAACATTTGACAAAACAGGTAAAAAATTCGTTGATATTATTTAGTGCAATCACATTATTTAAAAAAATGATTGTTATGTCAATGCTCCTAACCTATCATTCTACTATACCTCATCAACCATCCAATCCTTCACTGTCACCTTTCCAAAATAAGTCCACGAGCGTATCCAGATCTCCACCTAGGTCTTCCTCTTTTGCATCTCCCTTTTGTTGGACTCGCAGTCATTAGTCATGCTGTGATTGGTTGTGAGTCTCTCATTCTCAACCTACAAGCATAAAAGGGAAACAATACATCTGTATATGTTACAGTGAACATAAACGCGAAAAGTTGAGAATTACTTAGAGCAACCATCAATTAGCAGAGCTAATCGATACTCAAGGCAATAATACCAAAATTCTTGTCATACCATTTACTTGCAACCGCATTAAAAGCCAAGCTACAGAAAGGCTTCTCATCTTGTGCATGCCACGGCAGCCCAAACTCCTCTGAGAAGAAACAAGAGCACAAGGGTTAGACAAATACCAGAAAGGGGAAAACATGAAGCCATAGGGTTTCATGTTTAAGTTACTTGATGCATGGGCAGTCGCATAATTCTCACACAATTCAAAATCATTGCAAACAATGGAACCATCGGGTTTCTTTAGGAGACGGAAGGCGGCCCGCCGACCCTGGTTCCCAGCCTTTTCGCGTCGAGCGTTGCACATCTCGATGTGCTTCGTGTATTCGCCTTCATTCCATAAATCATTGAACTTCCCAACACCACTTCCTTCAATGGTGATGTACGGAATGACGGCTTCTTTGAAGAGCTCTTCCTCAGGCTAAATCACACGATTGTCCACATCTGGGTCCTTAAGAAGGTCCTTGCAAGCTTTAGGACACGTGGCCTGCAAAACACAAGATACACGAACGGGGTTAAAAGCGTGCTGAACAACAAAAGCATCAAGGTACAGAACAAAAAACAAATCTTTACCAGCAAAGTCTTCTTGGTACACTAGCTCGGCTAGTGTACATGTAAAACTCATATGCTATAGTCTGTGTAGGCTGTAGTGGGGTAGACAATATCGGGTACAACACTTTTAGGTTTTCCTACTTGTACCCACCTGATTCCTAGTGCATTCACTCCTCATTTCTTCACATGGTATAGAGCAGGTTCCCTAGTGGGAACGCTTCCTTGGGCCCACCACTGAAACCTTTTTCTGACCGGAGCGACAGCCACTCTTAGAGGCCCCTCTCACGGCCCCTCGCGCCACTCTTAGCGGCCCCGTCGCCGCCCCTAGCGGCCCCGTCGCCGCCCTTCCAGGCCCCTCGCGGCCCCTAGCGGCCCCGTTGCCACCCCTATGCGGCCCCGTAGCCGCCCCTAGCAGCCATGTCGCCGCCCCTAGCGGCCCCGTTGCCGCCTCCCTCCCTACGCGGCCCTGTTGCCGCCCCTAGGCGGTCCCGTCGCCGCCCCTAGCGGCCTCGACGCCGCCCCTACTCGGCCCCGTCGCCGCCACTAGCGGCCCCGTAGCCGCTCCCCTCCCTACGCGGCCCCGTAGCCGCCCCTACGCGGCCCCGTCGCCGCTCCCCTCCCTACGCGGCCTCGTCGCCGCTCCCCTCCCTACGCAGCCCCGTCGCCGCCCCTACGCGGCCCCGTCGCCGCCCCTGCTGGCCCCGTCGCCGCCCCTACGTGACCCTGTCGCCGCCCCTACGCGGCCCCGTCGCCGCCCCTAGCGGCCCCGTCGCCGCCTCCCTCCCTACGCGGCCTCGTCGCCACCCCTACGCGGCCTCGTAGCCGCCCCTACGCGGCCCCGTCGCCGCCCCTAGCGGCCCCGTCGCCGCCCCTAGCGGCCCCGTCGCCGCCCCTAGCGGCCCCGTCGCCGCCTCCCTCCCTACGCGGCCCCGTCGCCGCCACTACGCGGCCTCGTAGCCGCCCCTACGCGGACCCGTCGCCGCCCCTAGCGGCCCCGTCGCCGCTCCCCGCCCCTAGCGGCCCCGTCGCTGCCCCTACCCTGCCCCGTCGCCGCCCCTAGCGAGAAGCCGAGCCGCCGAGCCGCCAAGCTGCTGAGCCGCCGAGCCGCCTCTGGGGAAACCGCCACTACAGCAGCCGCCCCTGGAGCAGCCGCCACTGCAGCAGCCACCCCCGGAGCAGCCGCCACTACAGCAGCCGCCCGTGGAGAAGTTGCCTCTGGAGCAGCCGCCCCTACAACTGCCGCCCCTGGAGCAGCCACCCCTGCAGCTGCCGCAGAGCTCTCGCTCTACAATGGTAGCGGCCTCGCCGTTGCCGCCGTCATACGCCTGCCCTTCTCGCCAATGGTAAGCACTGCCCTGCCCGTACTGCTGTTACTGCTGCGCTTACTGCTGCTGCTCTTTCTACTGCTACTGTTGCTCCCGGCGTGGCCAGGTGCAGCTCCAGCATCACCCGCATGAGTCCCTCACCCCCCAACAGCTTCGTGCGTGGTACGCTAGTTGGGGTTGTCGGGGTGGCCGTAGTGGGAGTCGTCCTGGAGTGAGTAGTTCCACACCTGCTTGTAGTGGCTAGGTGCAGCTTCATCGTCGCCCGCGTGAGTCCCTCACCCCCCAACAGCTTTGTGAGTAGTACACTAGTTGGGGTTGTCAGGGTGGCCGTAGTGGGAGTCGTCCTGGAGTGAGTAATTCCGCAGCTGCTTGTAGTGGCCAGGTGCAGCTTCAGTATCGTCCGCGAGCGGTCCTTTTGCCCAGCAGCTTCGTGAGTGGTACGCTCAGCGTGACGGGTCATGGGGTACTGCTCGCTGTCCGTACGTCATTCGCACTAGTGCTCGGACTGGTCAGCCTTGCGGGACGTTTGGTCACGCAAAGTCCTGCTGCTTCGCCCGTCTCAGCGACGCTTGGCGTACGGAGTTTGGCGACGCGGCTAAGCTCCCCGACTGGGTGGAGCTGTTTCACCTGCGGGTAGATATCTATACTCTTGACTATGATGCTATCCTCACTGCCATGTATGCATTGCCTACTAGTGATGAGGGTGACTGTTACCTGTGTGTTCCGCCTGACCCCGGCATTGAGGCTGCTGCTCTAGGTGCTGGTGAGGTTGCAACTCTAGGTGCTAGTGCGTCTGTTGCCCCAAGTGCTAGTGAGTCTGCTCTCTCAGGTACCACGTCGTCTCAGGCCTTACACACCTTCACTCTTGACTCGGGTGCTTCCCGCTCCTTCTTTCGAGACCGCACCACGCTTACGCCGATCAGTCGGCCGGTTGCGGTCTCCCTGGCGGACCCCTCTGGGGGTCCTGTCCTTGCTCGCTTCTCCACTGTCTTACCCTATCCGGCTGTGAGGATCTGGGATCGAGCTCAGAAAAGATGATTCAAATTGAATTGAATGATCACCTGGGTACAACACGAGGCTATATATAGGCTCGACACAAGGCCCCGTAACCAGGTGTTACGCGAAGGTTCCGCGGGTCGCGAAGCGTCCCAAACAGATCCTTACCGAATTCGGTAGAAGGCAATTCGGTGGCAACCGAAAAGCCAGAATTCGGTGCACGCAACCTAGCTCGGTGCTATAACTATAATAAAATATAGGAAAGCACCTAGCCTAGGAAATCAAGCAATTCATGCATGCATATGATTATCCTATGCTAGAAATAGCATGATAAAGTAGAGGCAAGCAAGCAAAGCTGGCATAAGCCGTCGTACTCTTACACGTCCCCCCCTCAAAGCTGGGTGGCGTGAGATACACCCTGCTTGACAAGATAGTCCTTGAGAGCACGGCGTGCGTTGCCCATATCAGCTTCTGCAACCCAACTGTCCTCAGTGGGGTTGTATTCCTTCCAGCGTATCAGGAACTCGAGGGTCTTGCCACCGCGGCGCCGATGGGTGAGAACGCGCTCGATCTCGTACTCGGGTTCATCCTGTATGAGAACAGGTGGTGGTGGCGGTAGTTGCCGTCCCTGGAACTGTTGGTTGGGGTCCTTGTAGGGCTTCAGTAGCTGGACATGGAAAGCGTTGTGAAGCTTCCATGTATCTGGTAAGCGCAAGCGGAATGTAACTGGTGTCACCTGTGCCTCAACGAGAAAAGGACCACAGAAGCGAGGCCGGAGTTTGGATGGGAGGTGAGACAGGTTCAAGTTGCGCGTGTCAAGAAGCACCTGATCTCCGACTGCTACTGAGTGATCACGTCGCTGACGATCGGCATACTGCTTCTGGGAGGTCTGCATCGTGGTGAGACGTCGCTGAGTCTTCTCCCATAGCTGCTGCATGGTGGTGACGAAGTCATGTGCGGCTTGGACGTGTGCCGGTGTAGTTGGCTGCTGTGGTGTGAATGGTTCCCGTCCGTAACATAGGAAGAAATGATTTTTTCCTGTGGCCGCATGTGATGCGTTGTTGTAAGCGGACTCTAGGGTCGGTAACTGTGTGTCCCAGTGGCTGACGTCGTCCTTGCAAGCTGTGCGCAGTAACTGTTCAACCACTTGATTGAGTCGCTCTGTCTGTCCGTCAGTCTGGGGTTGGTATGCTGAAGACATTGCAAGTTTTGTCCCCAACAGTCCCATGAGCTCCTTCCAGAACTTACTCGTGAATTTGGGGTCTCTGTCTGAGATGAGTGTAGCGGGGATGCCGTGGATGGTGATGATGCGGTCGAAGAAGAGTCGAGCAGTTGCTTCAGCTGTAGCTATGGCGTTGGTCGGTATGAAGTGACCCATTTTGGAGAACTTATCGATCACCACGAGGATGGAATCATGTCCCCGTGAGGTCGAAGGAAGTCCTGTGATGAAGTCGAGGCTAACGACCTGCCATGGCTGCTCCGGTACGGGTAGAGGCTGAAGTAACCCTGCTTTTTTCTGCTTGCTACTCTTCATCCGCTGTCACGTGTCGCAAGAGGTGACGAACTGCTGCACGTCTGTTGCCATCCCGGGCCAGTAGTAA